ACTCCAGAGCGTAATAAATTCTCTAACTCTTCAATCCTTGTGCTAACACTCAACAACTATGGGCTCCTCTAAACAGCTGGTTGAGGAGCTTTAAATGAAGTTAAATGAAGTTAATTGATGCCTACAAGACAATAGAAGGCTATAAGAATGTATCAAAGCACTTCCAGCTTGCAGTTTTCACTGTATGAAATGTCATTAAGAAATAGCAGTTAAAGGGATCTGTGGAAGTCAAGGCAAGATCTGGAGGACTCTCAGATAGAAATGCTCATATGCTGTAGAACTGCTCATATGTTGTAGGACTGCTCATATGTTGTAGAACTGCTCATATGTTTGCCAGAAAGGCAAAGCAAAACCCCCATCTGAAAGTAAAGGACATTCAGGAGGGTTTAGGTCAAGCAGGAGTGCTGGTGCACTGTTCTAATGAGCAGTGTTGCTTAAACAAACATGATTTGCATGAAAGAGTGACCAGAAGGAAATGTGCAACCTCATCATAAAAGTCAATGGCTAAAGTATGCAAAACAACATCTTGATAATCCAGAGGCATTTTGGAAACAAGTGCTCTGGACTGATGAAGTAAAAAGTAAACTCTTTAATCACAGTCACCAAAAGTATGTTTGGAGAAAAAAAGAAGCAGCATTTGATGAAAAAAATGACTTTGTGAACTGTTAAGCATGGTGGTGGATCTATTATACCCTGGAGTTGTGACACATGAAAAATTGTACTAGTAGAAGGAAGAATAGATTCTACCAAATGTCTGCACATTCTGGAAGCAACTCAGTCAGTCAAGAATTTGAAGCTAAAAAAAAAGTGGGCTTCTACAACAGGAAGATGATCCTAAACATACCCCAAAATCTGCCCTGAAGGTGGTGTTATTAAGAATTTATTTATTTATGCTGCAGAGTTTGTCTTTACTCCTTTTCACTTCAAAACAAACAAACAAAGCAAACTAACAAAAAAAACCCAAATGTTTAATTGGTTAGGTCTGCCCAAACTCAAAATAATCCTGGGTTAAAAACAACTCAATTTGGGCACTATCCATAACCCAGTGCTGGGTCACTATATAACACAACACACTGGGTTAATCTGACTTGAATAACCCAACAGTCTGGGTTAAAATATGGTTACGTTAACCCAGTACTGGGTTCATCCCATCTCGTTCTACCCTATTATTATTGGGTTACTGTTAAACTGAAAACACATCTATTAAGTTTGCTGCAGAATTTCTGTCATGTTATTTCCAACCTGTAAACAGAAAAGATGACAACATTTTCAGAAAAAAACACAAACATGACCAACCTTTAGCACACAAAAAAACCTTATCAGAAGTAATGTACCACACATTGTCAGAAGCGTGTCGATATAAAGTCTATTCAAGCCAAGTTTGCTGGGTAAGCTATGTTAGCTACATAATTCAGTTGATAGGCTAATGTTAGCCACATAAAGTACAATTATCACACAGATAATGTTAATGTTTACTTAATTCTGTGCAAAGCAACAACAATAAATAAAACCACTATTGGCTGAATAACAATTACAAGATGAACTGGTTTAATGCAACCATCAAGAAGCTCGAAACAAAACAAAATACATTTCAGTGATGAAAAGAAAACAGTGTTAATTAATGAAGTTCTTTCCCACCAAAACATTCTACAGCAGTGGTCTTCAACCCTGGTCCTGGAGAGCTACCTTCATGAAGAGATTAGTTCCAATTTGTATCCAATAAGCTGCCCTGCCTGTTAATTAACTCAAATATATCTGATCCAGCCAATCACTTGGGAAGAGGTTGATTAGTTGGAGCAGGAGTGGCCAACTGTGGTTGGAACTTGGATCTTGTGTTGGATCCAGTGTTTGCAAAATCCAGGACTGGAGACTGGATTAAAGGTATAGATTTGATGATCTCTTATCTACAGGATTAATATTTGATCTGGCTAAGATAACAGAGTTTGAATGATAATATGGACTGGAAGTGCATCCCAGCACATGCCGTATTGCATCTTCTCACATCTGATTGATAGTATTGTGATGATGTCACAAGCACACTGCCACCATTTTGGTAGGCAACATAAAGTTCATTCAGCAGTGCTGTGGCTGTTTGTAATGAGATAACAAATCCATAACTGATCAAGCAGAGGCAGTAAAACACAATATTTTTTTGGATCACTTTAAGTCTCATTTTTAAAGCATATTAACTGATATGTATTGCCTTAATTTTTTAGATTTGTTGTAGTGATAGCAAATGAAAGCTGAAATCTAAACGGCTGAGATTTCCTGCTGCGTTACGAGTACCCTGTCCCAAACTGCATACTAGCTCACTAAATAGTGTGTAAAAATAGCACATATACCATTAGAAGTGTAGTAGGTGAAGTACAGAAGTGTGAGGTTTGGGACGCGGTGTTAGATCACCCAATGAGACGCGTTCAACAGCTGCTCATTAAACATCTCCAAGAGAAAATTTGAGCGGAGCATTTATTGAGGTAAAGTAATTTGTGTATTGAGGTAAAGTAATGTGTTTATTGAGGTTAATTAATGAATTTATTTAGGTAAATTATTGCATTTAGTAAGGTAAGCTGATGTTGGCTTTATATTCGCCAACTTTTGTAATTTGTTCTACAATCCCAATTCCAAAAAGGTTGGGATGCTGTGTAAAATGTAAATAAATGTAAATAAAAACAGAATGCAATAATTTGCAATCTCATAGACCCATATTTTATTTGCAATAGAACATAGAACATGTATCAGATGTTGAAAGTGAGACATTTTACCATTTCATGAAAAACACTAACTCATTTAGAACTTGATGGCAGCATCTCAAAAAAGTTAAGACAGAGCAACAAAAGGCTGGAAAAGTAGCTGGAGGAGCAATTTGCAACAAACACATGACTTGATATAAAAAGAGCATTTTAGAGAGGCAGATTCTCTCAGAAGCAAAGATGGGCAGAGGTTCACCAATCTGTGAAAAACTGCATCTAAAAATTGTGGAACAATTTCAGAAAAATGTTCCTTAATGTAAAATTGCAAAGACTTTGGATATCCCACCATCTACAGTGCATAATATCATAAAAAGATTCAGAGAATCTGGAGAAATCACTTTACTCAAGGAACAAGGCCAACGGTCAATATTGGATGCTTGTGCTCTTCGGGCCCTCAGGCGGCACTGCACTGAAAACAGGCATGATTCTGTACTGGAAATCACTGCATGGGCTGAGAAACACTTCCAGAAATCATTGTCTGTGAACACTGTTCACCGTGCAATCCACAAATGCAAATTAAAGCTGTATCATGCAAAGAAGGAACCATATATAAACAGGATGCAGAAATGCCGCCAACTTCTCTGGGCCAAAGCTCACAGTCCACAAATGGACTGAGGCAAAATGGAAAACTGTTCTGTGGTCAGATGAATCAAAATTTGAAATTCTTTTTGGAAACCACGGACGCTGTGTCCTGCGGACTCAAGAGGAGAGGGACCATCCAGCTTGTTATCAGCGCACAGTTCAAAAGCCTGCATCTCTGATGGTATGGGGTTGCATTGGTGCCTATGGCATGGGCAGCTTACACATCTGGAAAGGCTCTACCAATGCTGAACAGTATATCAAGGTTTTAGAATAGCATATGCTCCCATCCAGACAATGTCTCTTTCAGGGAAGGGTTAGGGTTAGGGTTAGGGTTAGCCTTGAATATTTCAGCAAGACAATGCTAAACCACATACTGCATCCATCACAACAGCATGGCTTCGCAGATAAAGAGTCCCGGTGCTGAACTGGCCTGCCTGCAGTCCAGACCTTTCACCAATAGAAAACATTTGGCGCATCATGGAACGAAAAATCCAGCAAAGAAGACCCAGGACTGTTGGGCAGCTAGAATCCTACATCAGACAAGAATGGGACAATATTCCTCTCCCAAAACTCCAGCAACTGGTCTCCTCACTTCCCAGACGTTTACAGACTGTTGTTAAAAGAAGAGGGGATGCTACTCAATAGTAGACATGGCCCTGTCCCAACTTTTTTGAGATGAGTTGCTGTCATCAAGTTCTAAATGAGTTAATATTTTTCATGAAATAGTAAAATGTCCCACTTTCAACATCTGATATGTTTTTTATGTTCTATTGTGAATAAAATATGGGTCTATGAGATTTGCAAATCATCGCATTCAGTTTTTATTTCGATTTATTTACATTTTACACAGCGTACCAACTTTTGTGGAATTGGGGTTGTGTGTTTAAGGCACCACAGTGTAACTGCAGCTCCATTTCAAGGTGGAACAGAAAGTTCAAATGAGAAGCTGGTGAATATGAAGCTGACTTTGGCTTTATATCTCTTTTATTAGTTTTGTAAAATATCACACACTGGAATGTTTTGAACTCTGGAGATGTGCAGGTTATACGGATCCACTAATCTAGCTAATCTTCTCATAGTGTTTTCTGGAGATGCATCTAAAGTGTCTTTTCATCCTTTTGTGTTCATACTGGTCTGTTTTATTGGTGTTTATCCACCTGCGGGGCTGTATCTGCAGTAATGGTGATGAGACAAGCTCTATCAGAGCACAGGCAGAGTTACAGCTCACCTACCAACATGGTGACGCGGCCCTTTTAATGATACAATCGATTACTATGAATTGTGTAAAAACAGTGTAAAAATTTTTTTTCAGATTCTGTGTCTGTCTAGCCACTTTGTCTGCAGTCATTGTTAAAGGATGCTCTCAACAACATGTCTTTGAGATTTAGTTAAGTGAGTGGAATATGTAATCAGCTGCTTTTTCAATATCTCCACCCCCTTTTTTGCAATTCCGACATGTTTTGTGCGTCCCTCCCTCAAATGCATGCGCCTGAGGGACAGAAAAGTGTTTTCCAGGTACACGGCCCATAAAAGTGTTTAGACTTGTGTGCCAGTGTCATACAGAACATGCAAGCAGAAATTGGTGTAATAGGCTCAGTACATCAGATCCTGTGTTCTTGATTTTCTGTAGTCTTTTGTCAAAATTTCTTCTTCTGTCCTGCCTCAAACATGCCTTCTGATGATGATTTCACCATGCACCAGCGGGTAGGGCAAAATAATATTAACCAATAATATGATGTTTTATATCCTATGACAGGCCTTAAAACCCACTTGGTCAATTAATTAATACTTTTTCCACTCTCATTAGGCAATGGCAGCTGCAGCAGCATCAACTGTTTTGTCTAGTGCGACCCTGTTTGGCACCTCCATTGAGCAAATATCCCAGAGCATAAACACAAACAGAAATGTCGCCATTCAATTCACCAATCGCAGTGATGGATACATCTTAGCAAATCCAAGGTAAGTACAGATGAATGTTGTCGCTGAGAGTCTCTCAGACTGAAATGGGCTTCTGGGTTATTAACCTGCAGAACTCACTGTCACTGAAAAAATTGTCTGGCCACCCCAGTTATGGAAAATGAGACAGTCGGCTGTCGTCAATAAAGCATCAATTATGCTTATGTAAAAAATCTGACATTGACAGCTTTACCAATCAGTTATAAGAGTATGATGGTATATTTAAAAATTATATTTTAAAGTAGGCTATTTGATGGTAAGATCAAAAATTAGTCAAGTATAATTGTTTATCATGCCAACTAAACACTATTTACGGTTGAGAATGATGGACTATTGAAGGTGCTTCATGACCTCAGGCTGCTTCACAAACCAGACCTTAGGACTGCGTAATGCCGCTAGCTAGAGGAGAAAGTGTTGAAAAGGGTGTGCCAGGAAGTGTAAAGGTGGTAAATGCTAGGCTGGATCCATTTCAGTTGATGCTTCGTCTTCCTTACGTAGCGGATCTATTTCAGTTTGTATGTCGCCCTAACTGGTCTAAAGAGGATGTTATATCCTCTGCCATTCACCTGTCAGTGACTCACTTGGACAGAAAAGACGATTATGTGAGAGTGCTGTTTATAGGCAAGGTAAGTTTATTTATACAATAGTTTTTATACACTGCAGCCTTCACAAATGATTAAAGACAAAAATAATTCAGATTAAAATGTAAAAAGATGTATGTAGGACAGTTAGTTGCTGACAAACCAGGGCCAAGGCCAGGCAGCAGACAAACAGGCTAAACCGACCGTCTGCTAGCTGCCTTGAGACGCCACATAGGTTCCACCCAATTGAGACTGTGTCTGTTCCCTGAATAAAACAAAGCATCAAAAATCCTCATAAAGTTTGCTCCAGTAACTTGATTAATATCAGATCAGTTATACCAGTTTGCAGTTACAGCACCTTTGGTTTAAAACTGCTTAACATAAGATCTCTTACATCTAAGGCCGTCGTTGTAAATTAAATTATTACCGATACATGATTTTGATGCTCTGTGCCTCACAGAAACGTGGATTAGACCCGATGAATACTTTAGTCTAAATGAAGCCACCCCGGGGTGGAGGTATAGCAACTATCCATACTAAAGCTTTAGGCGTGAGCCAGAAAGTAGGCTATAAATTCTCTTTTTTTGAAGTTCTCTTTCTTAATATAAGTGATCAAGGAACAAATAAGAATTCCTTTTCACTAATTACAATCTCTAGACCGCCAGGGCCGTATTCTCAGTTCTTACAGGAATTCTCAGACTTTCTAATTTTCTAAGTTTAATAATTTATTCAAATAAAGTCATAATTGTCAGATATTTTAATATGCACTTTGACAAACCTCAAGATGCACTAAGCAAGGCATTTATATCTATCTTAGACTCTGTAGGTTTCACTCAAACTGCAGCCACACTTTAGACTTAATTCTGACCTTTGGTGTAAACATAGATCATTTAGCCATTCTCCCCCAGAGCACAGCAGTCTCAGATCACTACCTAATCTCGTGTGAAATTCGCTTTAGTGGTAATGTACATTCATCACCATGCTATTGTGTTAAGCGGACTATAACTTTCTCCACAGCTGGTAGCTTTATCAGAAACCTCCCACAATTATCAGCTTCTGTCAGCTGTCCATCTAATCCTACCGAATTAGATATTATGACCAAGTTCTTAGAGGATACTTTTCGATCTACATAATGTGGCTCCATTAAAAAGTAAAATAGTAAGGCAGAAGAAACTCGCCCCATGGTATAATGATCATACTCAAGCTTTAAAACACTGTTAGACAACTAGAGCGAAAAATGGCGCCTGACTAAACTAGAAGTGTTTCAGTCTGCCTTGAAGGAGAGCCTTATAGACTATAGAAGAGCACTTACTGCAGCATGCTCAAATCTCTCCTCTCATAGAAAACAATAAGAATAATCCTAGATTATTATTTAGCACAATTTCTAAAATAACTAAGAACCAAACAGTTACTGAACCCTAGATGCCATTAGCCTATAGCAGCAATGTAAGTAGTAAGTAAGTAAAGTTTATTTATATAGCGCTTTTTACAACAGGTGTTGTCACAAAGCAGCTTTACAAGGAAATCATCATTACAAAAAGAAATCCGGGTCCGAGCCCCCATGAGCAAGCCAGTGGCGACAGTGGCAAGGAAAAACTCCCTAAGAGAAACAGGAAGAAACCTTGAGAGGAACCAAGACTCAGAAGGGGAACCCATCCTTTGGTTGACACCGGAATGTAAACATTTTTACAATAAAGTATTATAGTACAAAAACAGGGAAAAGACGTGGAGCAAATGATTAATTTGATTAGTTTAGTTCATGCAGCAGCAGCATCAGTGGGGTCAGGTTGTGAGGGTGAGGTTTGCACGGTGAGCAGTGGCACCCGATCAAGGCAGAAGAGGCAGCAGCATCTGAACGCACAGGATGGGCAGCTGTTCAACTCGGCAAAGGAAAGAAAGGAAAAACACACAGTCAGTTCTGCAATGGGTGATTGATTAATTCGATTAGTTCAAATGAATAATTTTGATTAGTTCATGTAGCAACAGCAGTAGTATCAGTGGGGTCAGGTTGTGAGGGTGAGGTTTGCACGGCGTTGTACAGCAGGAGGCTCAATGTTGGTAAGCCGGTACAGAGGGCTGGCGAGCAGTGGCACCCAATCAAGGCAGAAGAGGCAGCAGCATCAGACGCACAGGATGGGCAGCTGTTCAACTCGGCGAAGAAAAGAAAAGAAAACACATAGAGAGGAAAACACACAGAGAGTCAGTTCTGTAATGGCTGACCGATCACAAATTACAGTGTTAGCAGAGACTCAGGCAGGTATAGAACTGACAGGGAAAACTAATTACCAAAGGCTTGATTCTACAAGTAAGTTTTTAGCTTAGACTTAAACACTGAGGCTGTGTCTGAGTCCCGTACATTAACAGGAAAACTATTCCAAAGCTGGGGGGCTTTGTATGAGAAAGCTCTCCCCCCCAATGTAACTTTGTAGACCTTGTGATCTAAGTAGGCGTGATGGTTCATAGTGAGAGAGAAGTTCACTCAGGTACTGAGGGGCAAGTCCGTTTAGTGCTTTGTAAGTCAGTAAGAGAATTTTATAATCAATCCGAAATTTAACTGGTAACCAGTGTAAGGTTGATAAAACTGGGCTGATATGGTCAAACTTTCTGGTTCTTGTAAGGACTCTGGCTGCAGCGTTCTGGACCAACTGAAGCTTGTTAAGGCTTTTGCTGGGACATCCAGCCAGCAGGGCATTACAGTAGTCTAGCCTTGAAGTAATAAATGCATGAACTAACTTTTCTGCATCCTGTAGAGATAATGCATTTCTCAATTTAGCAATATTGCGGAGATGCAGGAAGGCTGTTCTAGTAATATTAGTTATATGCGTGTCAAAGGACAGATCAGGGTCTATAATGACACCAAGGCTTTTTACAGATGAGCTTGATGCAACTGAGAAATTGTTTAAGTGTAAAATCAGACAGTTTGTTTCTAGCTGCTTTTGGACCAAGAAGCAGAACCTCTGTTTTATCCAAATTAAGAAGGAGAAAGTTACTCGACATCCAGTCCTTTATGTCTTTTATACAGTCTTCAATCTTGCTAAGTTTAATTCTATCATCTGGGTCGCTGGCTAAATATAACAGTGTCATCGGCATAGCAGTGGAAGTTTATGCCGTGTTTACTGATAATGGTGCCTAGTGGTAGCATATATAATGTGAATAATACAGGTCCTAAAACAGAGCCTTGTGGAACACCATACTTTACTTTTGTGAGAACAGATGATTCACCGTTTATATTAACAAACTGATAGCGATCAGTGAGGTAAGACCTGAACCAGGAAAGAGCTATTCCTGTTACCCCTACAAGGTTTTCTAGTCTGTCTAGTAAGATAGTGTGGTTGTTCTGTCCTATGTGCTGACAGACAGATAAACTCTCTCCTTAACATCACCACTCTGAAGACAGTTGGCCCTTGTCCACAGGTTTATTGTTGCAAGGAAAGGTGAAACTAAAACACAGAAAAACAGTATTCAACAATATGTTCCCCTTTAACATTAACCAACAAATGAAATACAATCTTTTGTGTTTTACTGCAACTGGTTAGTGTATAATTATCTCAAAGGCAAACAAGGAATCACACGGTATCATGCTCATACACCCATTCTCACGTCTAAACACATGTATAAACTGCCACAATGGCACCCCAATCAATCCTTAACATATAACAACTCTCAAAATGTACAACTTCCAGAAACTAAGGGTCTACAATGATAGATTAAGATAAAAACAATATGTACATACCCACGATGCTATCATAGGCATTTGGATGTGTGCAGATCTCACTGGATTGACTGAGATACAATACAGCTAGCTCCCATGAGTTGGACCTGCTCTCACTTCCTGCTATGTGAGAGGCTGCTACATAGCTACTGACACCTAGTGGTCTTTCAGAGAACAACAACTAGCTATTTATATGTATAATGTAAAACAGCTTTTCACAAATGTATTGTGGCAGGACACTCCCCGTCTGATGTGGGTACACATCACTCGATAATCACGACACGTCATATATCTATGCATCTGGAGGACGAAGAAGTACCACCTCGGTAATAGGCCTAAGGAAAAGTGTAGCCTTACCATGATTCATGATCCTAATCTCAACCTGACGCACTTTCTTATCTTTGCTTGGGAAGGTCTATGTTACTAGTCCAAGGGGCCATTCATTCCTAGGAACCTGGCTGTCCTTGAGGAGAACAACACTTCCTTTTTCAATGTTTGGTTGAATGGACTGCCACTTCTTGCGTGCCTGTAAAGTTGGGAGATACTGCTTTCGCCATCTATCCCAGAAAGTGTTGGACAGGTGCTGAACTTGTCGCAATTGGCGCTTGTAGAGGTCTGACTCTCCAAACTCCCCTGCAGGAACTGGAACAATGTTCACCTTTTGTGTCAGAAGAGTTGCTGGTGTAAGAATAAATGGATCATCTGGGTCA